AATAAAAAATAAGAGGTGCCAAATTTGTTCCCATTTCAGTAACTCGGTAATTGCTGGAGCGATTTCGCTGAAACTTGGCATACAAGTAGGCACCCACCAGGCAACGCATTCCCATGTGTTGCGGTTAGGGTGCTACTGCACGTGCGCACGTGCAGGGGGCGTTTCCAGATCTCGAAAACGGCTGGGCCGATTGCGCTCAAATTTGGTACACGGTTGGGAACCGGTTAGTAGGGTGCCGTGCAAAAGTCATTTTGGACCCCGTTTGCACGTGCGCACGTGCAGAATGCCGCTTCCAGATCTCAGGAACGGCTGGGCCGATTGCGTTCAAATTTGGCACACCGCTAGCGACCGGTTAGAAGGGTGCTTTGCACAAGTCCGTTGGAAGTACCCTCTCGCCCTTCCGCACGTGCAGGGCTCACTATCTCGCTCGCTCGTTCTTCGCCCAAAAGGCGCTTTACTGGTATTAATATATGGAGTAAACTCATTTTTATTAAACGGTAAGAATAACTGTTTAATATTCGGCAGTCTCTTGTTTCTTAGTTCATGGTTAGCTCGGCATTACAACTATGTCATCCGATTATTCTTCACTTGTTAAACCGTCCTTCAACATTCTTCACAACAATGACATATAAATGATATTTCCGGACAGCGGTCTTGCTACATTCGTGCTCTCTCGGATGGAATATCACAGCCGTCACTCGGCTCTCTCGGAGCCAGAAGACAGTGGACGGCATGTCCGCTGGACTGAATTGTGTCATAAAGCTTCAAAGAAAGGCTCGGTGCCCGGCATTTCCTGGCGAAACTGGTCACATTGCCCTGGGAGACGTCGACGTTGAACACAAAGATAGCACCGACTAAAGTGTGCTCGTAGGTACCTGAGCTGTGCGGCGGGAGACGGCGCGGCGGCTACGATGCCGAGCTACGATACCTTACCGGCGATATTACTGCTGTAGAAGCAGATCGTACCACCCGACGAGATGTCCCGATCTTTGACTCAAAACTATGCAGTATGCATACCTACCATACTTCTTCAAACAGCGAATAACAGCTCTCTGTATAGTGCATTTCGGCTATCCACACATCTGTCACATGCTCACTGCCCACCGGATCATAGCTCGAACGTGATCACTCAGAGGAAGCCAGCCACTCAGCTCCGCCCACCCGGACCTCGTTATCATGTGGAGCGATAATTGTCTGAACAGTTAGCTATGTCTACCGCCGTCAGCTGCCGGTCGAGTCGCCACCGGCTCTGCTCGAGTCACAGCCCGTCTGAACACCGGTGTCCAAACGAACTGCACTTCCGGACGGGCGGTGCGGTAGCTCTCCAACTTCCTCACACCCGCCGCCGTCTCCTGCTCCCTTTTTATTAACCGGTGACGCTGGTTTTTACACGCCCGGTTACCGCTTACTCACCCACGCAACGGACGCGGTTTGTCATCGCCCGGGGGCTGAGAAACCAGCCCGGCTGGTGGTCCGGTCAGCTGTGCCGACGGGTCCGGTCGGCGGCCCATCTGCCCGGCGACCACAGAGCGCCGCGATCGGGCCTGCTGCGCCGCTGATCGCCAAGTGCGTGTCACTGCTCACCGCTCAGCGTCGACATGCGCCACTGCTCGGCGCCGCTGGAAACGGGCACGGCGTGGCTGCTCACGCGAATCGACGCATTGACACACTCGCTCGTTAATTGTACCGGTGCTTGGGAGGTCAGTGTGGGTGCCGCACAGCGCTCAGGGACGCTCATAACTTACAGACACAGTTTTGTTGCTGAACCTAGCTGTAGGTATGTCATTTTCCCCGGACAGCAAGCATTACGCGGAAAATACCTATCAGTGAGTTATTCCCTGTCCAATCTCTGAAACTGCCGTTTTGCCAGTCAGCGACCACTATAGGCTCTGTGGGTCGCCGGTATGTGATTGTCACCGTTAGATGAACGTGCGACTCCCAGCTGTCTGGCAGCTGTTTGCCCCCCGGCACACCGGGCGGTTCTCTGTATTCGGTGGCCGAGCTGGGTCGCGGTGCCGGCCGGGTCAGCTCGCTCACAGACCGGCGCACAGACCGGTGTTTATGTGTGGCGTATTACCAGAGCTACGCATACCTACCATAATTCAGAACTTATTCCGCTCTATGGTGACTAATTGCTGGTCACACAGTGTACTGATAGGTTTATTTGTTGGCGTGGCACCGCGTGTTGCAGAACGCCAGCGTACTTACCCGTGTCACCGAGGTACGGATAGGTACGCCTGTGTATTGGTGTGACACCAAGGCACTTTACGCCAGTGTATTGGTGTGACGCCGTGGCACACTACATCAATGTATTGGCGTTTTTTTTTTCTCGATAGCTCCCTGTGTCGGCACCCCGTTTGCGGCGCGCCCGGTTGGCGGCTCGTGTCACGGTCGGCCGCGTGGAACGGCGACTCCATCGGCGGTGGCTTTAGCGGGCCGCTGCACTGCTGCGCCGTGCCGCGGACGGAGTGTGCCGCAGACAATCAGCCGCGGCCCTGGGCCTCCCGTGAGCTTATCACTCCGTCCCGGTCAGCGCTGTGCGCATGGACACAGGCAATCGTGAATTAAGGGCTGTTTATGTTTAAATGTTTTTCTTCAATTAGTTTAAAAAAATAATTAAATTAGTATGATATTATTAGGTCTAATCCCCGGGTATGCTAAAATGCCGCTTAAAAATTCCTTTTCCAACGAAACTCTGCTTAAGACTTCTCAGTGATGATTCATGGTGGCACATTCCTAATTCCAATTGTTCTGAAGGCTCAGTAAAAGCACGGCTGGGTATCTCATGTTACCTACTATCAGCCTATTCAACCGTCACTAACAAACTTGTCACTGCTATCCTGGTTCTGTCCTCGGCAGCCCGGCTCGCTAATGTGCTCTCCTCTATCCCCCTACAATCTCTCTTAGCTCTTCAGCTACAAGGCAACGGTCCCGTGCGCCGTGATATGGGGATTCGAGCCCGCCGCCGAGGGGCTGGAGATGGGTGTTTCATTCGTCCCATATCCCTCACGGCACGTCCGTTGGTATGGGGACGGGGTGCGGCACTTTGGACACGAGTTTTGAGAGTAGGTGACACACAGCGGTATTTTAGATACTTGTCTGGTGCTATCGTGGCATCGCCAGGTCCCTCGACCGCCACGGTCTTGTCCCTGGTACTGTGCGGCCTATGTAAGCCACAGGCATTGGATACATCTCTTTCTCTTCTCTATATGCATACACGTTTATGTATCAAGCTTACATCGAAGTGCTAGCATGTGGATGTGCTGCTTATACATTGTCATGCCGCGCCGCCCTAGCTATACTTTCTATGCTTCTAACTATCGATATTTAACTATAACTTCTAGGTTAACTATACTTTCTAAATACATTTTTATAATGATTTTGTGAGCCAGTAACGCCATCATACCGCGCACTTCGATTTCGATCTGCATCTGATTTCGCACGCAATCCACGCGCCCCGTGACCCTGCTGCACAGCGGCGGTGCGTGCTGACATTGACCGTTTGTCATTCGTGTCGGACCGTCACCCGTCACCGCTGACGGACCGTCATCCACCGTCGAGCCGTCATCGGCCAGCTGCCGGCCGCGCTCGTCGGCATGGGCCGTTAGTCGGAGGAATCTACCGGTCACCAGACGGTCGGATGGCTCGTGCTGAACGGAGCCGAACACAGATGTCTTACCCAACGTGAAACATCGAATACCGACTGATAAAGTCAGTGAACTGAATATCAACCAAGCAGTGGAATCCACGGTTAATGTAGATTGGACATGCTGTCTGGTGGGATTTCTATAGCTCGTATGCTGCAGCAGAGATGGAAATAAGCTCGGCTATGGCCTATGATAGCATTCCTAGTGTTAGCAAATGCATACCGTGACATTGGTTTACTTGAGTTGTGACACCGTTTTAATCGGTACAAAGCTTTGTGACAGTTTCACCATTTTGTCTTGTTTCATTTAAATGGAATGATTAAAATGTTAATTAAGTGGCATTATGCATCGCACTGTATTCAATGAAACGATTATCCAATCCATCATAAAGTCTCAGATTAGCGTAGTAGGTATCGGTTTCCTTCAAAAGACTTCTCATTTCTTGATTTATTGATTCAACACAACTAGGCAATTAACTGTTGGTGTAAGGTATGCGCGTATTGCAATACCATGTGCGCACATGTGCGCAGCTGGACGACAGACTACCCTGCACTTATCACCCTGCCCGATCGCTCCCCATTATTCCTTGTTCCCGGTTGCGTGCCGACAGCCGTCTGACCCTGCTGCCTGTCACTCTGCACCGGCAATTCGACCGGGTTTCCTGCCAAATGAACGACAGGCCTTTCCTGGTCCCTGTTTGAGCGGTGGGCTCCGCCGTTTTTGGCCGATTTGCTGGCCTTGTGAACTGCCTTCCGCTCCACTGATTTTGTCAGATTGGTCATTCCATACTGGTTTTCTGGTCAGGTATATATCATCGTTCGGTTGGATGGCTGCTTGTTCTCCGACTAACTGAGATTGATCGGTCAACTCTGACCGACCCCTGCCCACCGTCCCTCTACAGACTGTCCTCTCCGTCGACTGACCGGACCGATCGACGGCATTGCTCCTGACAGACCAACTGTTCCACTCTCCCTTTTTCAACCAACCGTCCCCTTGACCTACCGACTGTCCCCTCCTCCGGTAAACTGTGCCCGACGACTAACTAACCGGCTGTTCGTGCCTCAAACCATCTCCCCCTGCCGACAGACCGACCGTCCCTCTCAACTGACCGACTGTCCCTCATCTGCTCCCGGCTGCGGACCGACTCGACTGCCCCTCCCCTGCCCGACTGTCCCCGACGCCCGCTCGTCCTCAGTGTCGTGTGTCAGTCAGCTGTGATCCGACCACCCCGGCCCGCCGGCACCGGTGGCTGACGGCCGGTCCCAGCCGCGACTGGACGATGGCCGCGGCGAGGCGGCCGGCGACGGCGGTGAGGCGGTCAGTGCGGCCGCGGCGCTCGCGGGCCTTGGCGCTCGCCCGGAACACACACGGTGGTGTGGGGAGTCTCGCTCGGAACACAGGGTGTGCGGGGTGTGGTGTTCGGAGAGGGACGCTCGGTGGCCGCTGGACAGCACTGAGCCGGACGGACTGGACACGCCACGGAGACGGAACGGTCGCCAGGCTGAGGATCGGGAGCGGTGGATACAGACAGGTGGGCAAATGAACCCGTAATGAGACGGATATATCACATTCCATATCTTTTGATAATCACAGTGGATTGAGGATATAACACCGGAATGTTGTTTCCCGTTAATTTCTTCTGTTGCCAAAAAGTATCTCGTTAAAATAGTCGTCTCAGCACCTTTGACTAGCAAATAGACGAAAATGCTCCGATAGAACAGGGAAAAATGTAGAATTGATAGTTAATTAATTGCCACCATATTTCGTAAACCGTAGTGGACCAGGCTGACAGACGAGTGGACAGTTACAGTCGGTGTAACATGACCGTTCTGACCCCTGACCATACACTCGTGGCGTGCTCGGGGCCCATTTGTTTGCTCGTGCGGAGCTGCAACAGTTTGTTTTGACGGCACAGCCACGTTCGTGTTTTGTTGCGATGCTCAGCGCTGGGCATTTCATTTGTCTGCGTAGCCGTAAGACGCCGTAATGTTTACGGCTTTATTATCTGTTACATTGTTCTGTCCGTGAAGGGAGCTTAAAGATGTTGTTATGCGTGAGGATGATCCCTAGTGAGCTGAGAGCAAGTGCGGCTTATTGGAATGAGACCGTTAATTGTTTGATTGAACTACGGAAAAGAAAGAATGGCACCATTATCTTACGATTGTAGCCCCGTGTGCCTACTTGCAGTAAGTGAATGTGTAAAAAATATTACGTTATACGTTATAGGTATGTGAAGTCATTGAGCGCTTTAATGGAGAATGGTCATCTTGTATAAAAAACAAGCTTTTCCCTTATGATGTGTACCTTTACATCAGCTATTTATACGCGGCAAATTACAAGGTTTTTGATCTCGGTTAAGATGATTTTCTTGGTTCTAACTTAGGTTCCTAGTCCTACCATTACCGACCTTGTTCACTTGTCTGCAGTGGTTTGAATTTTCTTGCAAAGCGAACGGGAGCCGCTAGCAAACTCTGTTTCTGTCACTGCACAACATTTTGGCATGAGATAGAAGGAGATTTGATTGAATCCATACTCCATTGTCTTTCTACTGAGCTATTCGTTTACAACACAAAAGTTCGATAATATTGTGTCTTGTTCCAGACCGAAACGGATATTATCCTATGCCACCTACCCTGTTCAGTAACCTTGGTGAACAAACGACAAGATTATATAAAACCGTCACGGTTGGTAGACTGGTAATGTATGGGACAAGTACGGGTAGGCAACCAGAACTTGTTTTAACTTTGCTCGTGTGGTGCTTTATATAGATAAATGTATCAGTTTTCTGTTACATTTTACCTTTGAATTAAGATTCATCATGGTAGCATGTGTTGTAGTTTGCATTTACATTGATATTGGAGTTTTACTCGTGAACGTCTATGTATATAGTCGACTATTTAGTATATTGTTTGCTATAGGTGAACAAATAACAAATGTTGAACTGGGCAGGTACCCGGCGCATATCTCCAGATGGCAATGGTATACATCCTCTGTTCGCTGCTGGGTATTTCATGAAAGCACGGGTTGCCAAACTACCATGACCGTCGGCTGTTGTTCGATCGCTCGGTCTCACTGGCCTGTAATATCTCACTCTCTGCATGTCTTTATCAGTAGGGAGTTAGCGACATTAGCTAACGTCGTGAATACTATCGAACTGGGCGCTCGGTCAACCGTGAAACCTGCTTGAAATGCGCTTGTGTTCGACAATTTATGTTCATTTTTTGTCACTTTATATCCCTACAATGCCAATCAAAATCTACGAGCCTCAATTTGACATAAAACGAGCCTCTTAGCCCAGTATCCTTCACACGTCACAAGGCAAACCCATTCCATTCCCATGGCACCTCATAACAGTTCCAGCTCACCCAAATCCACCCCGCGTTCTCACCGCGTACCTGCACACCGCTCCGGCCCGGCCCATGACCACCTGTCGGTCCGGCCCGGCCGGCCGCAGCCGTCGGCTTGTGACCACTGACCGAGATCAAGGCGACTCACGGTCACTGCCAGCCGGCCGGCATTGCGTGCTCGCCTGCTTAAACCGGTGGCGGTCGGCGCGCATGGGTTACCGCACAGGCCACCACACACGGCCGTGAATATCGGCGTTTAGCGCAGCTAGGAGCTTTTTCCAATCGTATACGAGCGAAAAATTTTGTGGTACCATGACTTCTCTGTTTGGCCCTCTAGGGGCAATGAACTGTCGCGGAGGCGCGGAAGGAGAGACGACTGAGCGGGCCGAGACTTGTATTCCAACTGTGGTTCAGGTTCTGATTCGCCAGTGCCTGTGCGTTATATGCAGGGTGGTTGCACAATGAAGGACCGGTCCGCCGACCCGCCGGGTCGGTGGACGGTGCCGACACGTGGGGAAAGTGACGGCTATTTCTATGTAACAAAGCTTGAACGTGTACTCTCTTTATCATGATATGGAAGAAGGGAATCGGTCCCACATTATCTTCCCTCCCCCAGGGAAGCGTAGGGAACCGAAGCGATCATAACAAAGAGAGGAAACGTTTAGCTGACGGAGAAAGAAATTTCCATATGAGCGTATCACAAAATGGTATGAACAGATAAGTAAGTTTCGTGACAATTACACCTACTACCGGGCGATCCCTCCGCACTCTTGGCGGGGACCGTCCCTGGGCATCTCCATGGCCCTCGGCATCTCTGGCCGAATATCAATACAATATAATTTCAGTGAATTGACCACGATTAACGTATTTGAATGTTCATACCGACTTCAGAATATGCTCTTTTTATGCTTATTAGTGTCAAAGTGACACTGCAAAATGCAGGCAAAAATTAAGCGCATTTGCAATTTCTCCGTAAATTTTGGGGTGAGCAACCACAATGAAGCACAACAAACGACAGAACACTGACGAAAACGGATAATGAAACAGTACGGTTTTTGAAACACATCGAAGTTAAAACAAATTTCACAGCACAATTTCACTGTCACTTTTTGACGAAAATACAGCAAAAGTTCATAATGGGTGAATTTTCTTGATTTCGGTGCCAAGTTGTCTTGAATTTAGCGTTGATATTTTTTTTTTCTTCTCTTCTCTCCTCCGATCTTGAGTCCTTCAGCGAGGTGGTGTCCATCACTCGATGATGCTGAGGAGGACGGCGCGGGCTGATGAGCCGTGCGCTGTCGGCGGGCTCCGTAGTAGTCCAGGGTAGCTGATGACCTTGCCGCAGGGCAGATAGTCTTGCTGGGCAGAGCTACTCACTGGAGACGGTGCTGCTGGACGATGACGAGTCCAGGATGGTCAGCTCCCTAGTCGATGACGTGACGTAGGGGCGATACACCGTCACGGAGCACGGACTAACCAGTCTGCGATGTCAGTGCAGATGTAGAGGCTGGGGTCCGTGTTGAGGGGCACAAGTCCCCTCGACCGCCGCTGCCACCATTGTCGCGGAGGCGCGGAAGGAGAGACGACTGAGCGGGCCGAGACTTGTATTCCAACTGTGGTTCAGGTTCTGATTCGCCAGTGCCTGTGCGTTATATGCAGGGTGGTTGCACAATGAAGGACCGGTCCGCCGACCCGCCGGGTCGGTGGACGGTGCCGACACGTGGGGAAAGTGACGGCTATTTCTATGTAACAAAGCTTGAACGTGTACTCTCTTTATCATGATATGGAAGAAGGGAATCGGTCCCACAGAACCAGCGCGCGGCCGCTGCGCAGCCAAGACGTCCGTCGCGGTCACGTGACTTAGGCTGGGGGACGCGCGCCCGCGATAACGTTGTGTCCCATTTCTGCCTGGTCTGTCTGGCGACACACGCGTTGGCGCTCCGCTCTTACAACCAACTGGCGTTACAAGGTACGCATATATCTTTCGCACACAGTTGCCGTTCGGCTTCCCGGTTTTTATATGTGCTCGATTTGGTGGTGATCAATTTAGAGCGGTGTGCTGTGCATGTGTTGTTGTGTTATACTGATGAGTGGTGTTTCCGGGCAATGCTCATCATGCGAGCTAGGGCCGGGCTAGCGTCCCCATCACGCCAGCTTTGGGTGAGACAGTGTTTTCGAGGCTGCAAGTGGTTCCTGTCGGCAATCTTGGGGATGATATGTCGCCTCTAGGCTTCGTAATGTATGCCTTGGTCCTCCATACCGGGTAGAGGTGCAAGGTTTCCTTAATACGTGCCGGCTGGCCGGTAATTTTACATTACGCCAATAGCGATATGGTAGTGGTTCTTCCTGCCGGCAGCTTGCCGGTCATGTGCATGGGTTATATTTGGATACAAGTAATACTTCTTGTTGTAAATTGTCCTACAAACAGCATAAACGAGATATTTGTTCATCACGCTGGTAATATGCCGGCATTGGTGGTTGAACTGTGGTGTTGTGCCGGTGATCCTTGTGCTGGCCGTGGTGTGGAACGGTGCCGGTTGTGGCTTTTGGAGGTAAGTTAGCATCTCTAATACCGGGCTCCGGCTGCGTTTGTGCACTGGGAGGCGAGCAGCAGCGTGGACTTTGTCTCGGCCGATCCGGCCGGCCCAGACCTCATCGGGCTGTCACCTCACCCAAAGACGCTGTTTTCGTGAGAATATAGCCCCGAATCACTTTCGCACCGTCTTTGCTAGCGCGTAGGAGCATTGGAAAAATATCGTACCGGGCCGCCCGGCATTGCGACACGCCCGTGGGGATGTAGTGTTGGACGGCAGTGGAGATTGAGTATGTCCCTGTGTTCAGAATGCTAAGTTTGACCCTGTGTTTGTGTCCAGAATCTTACTGAGTCCCTCTGTGTCCAGGTCTGAGCCATGGGCTCTGCACGGCGCCCGTCCGGCCTCAGGGCCGATCTTCTCCGCCCCATCTCCCGGGTCTGAGGCCCCGCAGCGACGGGAGGCTCCCGGGACGCTGGGAAGACTGCAGCTGCTCCCCGCGCGTGGTCGTGAGAAGCGGCGAAGGACATCGGATAATTGCAGACGCCTGACGAGACCGGCAGAGGACCTGGCGTGGCCGTGAACCCGTGTGATAGACGCGTGAGCTCGAACGCATGGCTGTACTCACGGAACTGACGGCGCCGGGCCAGGGAAGCTCCACCCCGGCGAGCCGCGCGGCCGCCGGCGCCGTGCCGCGACCCGGGGGTCAAATGGTGACCTCCTCTGACCCGGAGAGTGACACCAGTGACCCGGCCACGGACCAGAGCAGTGACAGTCTGGCGCGCTCGGCGGCCGCCGGGCCGGGTCAGCGGGCGACGGCCGCCGCACCGGCCACCCAGGCGCTCAACTCGCGGGTCAGGCTGCCGATGAGCGTGCGACTCTCCGCGGCGCCCGGGTCGTCACACGACTCCACACACGAGTCCGGGCAGGAGTCGGGTCAGGACTCTGCGCAGGAGTCGACACACGACTCGGCGCAGGAGTCCGCAGAAGAGTCCGGTCAGACTTCGGCCCACAATTCCAGCCAGGATTCCACCCATGGATCGCCGACGGCGTCCGACAGCGACAGCAAAGGAACGGTTAGTTCTGCGAATGGGCTGCACCTGCCCTTGCAGCCTGTGGCCGCCCGACCGTCGCCGCCCGCGCGGGAAACCTGTTGTGATGACACTAGTCAGCGATCAGGAGCTTCATGATGTCGCAGTCCCGCCATGCTTTGGTACGGACCGTTGCTGGGGCAAGGCCAGTGGTCAATCCGGGAGATCACTTAGAGAGGCTCTTTGGCCCCTTATCCCCTATTTGCTATATGGGTAGATAAACCGACATAAATAGGTACCAAAAATAATTTTGTAAATATCAGCACCATACGGGATCCTAATCTCTCCTCTATCATCTTCAAGAACCTTTCAATCTAACTGGGGAAGCAATGACCAGCAATGGCCAGCCGATGCAGAATGGGAACCTGACATTAGATTAGTGTCCGTAACTGGGCGGGTGGAGTGGGGGGGGGGGGGCAGAGGGGAGGGCTATGACGGTATACCACCGCGCGGGCGGCTGTTCAGTGTGGGACCCTGGCCTACCGGGCTGGGGCGGGGCCGGGGCGGGGCGGGGCGGGGTCGGGGACGGAGGCCGTCCGCTGGGCGTGGCCGGAGGAAGCCGGGCCACCAGCTCGTCAGGGGGCTTTGTCTGCCCACCGGGAGGGATCGAGGCGGCACCTTTCAGGTGGAAGGCCGGGCTCGGCGATGGTGTTAAACGCCTCGCTGCCCTAACACGAAAATGGGTGCGTAGTCGAGTATGGGTGGTATGATTGCGTATAAGATGACAGATATGCGGAAGACTTAAGTTCTGGTGTCACTATACACTTTAAAAATGGGAGGTTTATGAGATAGGTATCGGACTCGCGATGCATATATCATCCATTAGTGGTGGTGATGGAATATAATCAGCTTGCTATAAGAAGTTCAAGGGAAATTACTGATGCCGACTCTTTGTGCAGGATACCCCCCCCCCCCCGCCCTTCGGCCAAAGCGGCTGGCCATCCGTGATCCGAGGAAGCATTCACTTGCCTGTACTTTACCCAAAAGCCACTATTATTTACTGCGTTCTGCGTAGCATTCCAGTGATACCGTACGCTGATAAAAGTGTTCAACGGTTCAAACCTTTTGTGTTTCACATTCGTACACACTACACACAATGCGTAACTTCATCGCAAGCTCTTATCTCAAAACGTGTGCCCGAGCGTTGCGACACAGCTGTTTGCGATAACAAAACCAGACATGCAAATTGTGATCGGAGGTATCTCGAAAGGACACCGAGCTTGCACGCCATCTGAATTTCTGCTTCGTGACGAAAACTCTCTATCTAAAGTATACGACACCGGTAACTTAACTATAAGTGCTTTAATAATTTCATTGAGATGCACGTTGATCGACAATGAAGGTCATATCGTGCGTGCAGCCTGGACTTAGCTTTTTATCTCATTCCACGAGCATATAATTCCGATGGTTATTCCACATCAATCATTTTGGATGATGGGTCGCACAACTTTTGTTTCCATCCCTTTCCCTATTCACTGAAAGTGTGGAAATAATGATACGCACATAGGCTGTTTGACCAGAAAACGAATCGAACCGAACCCCTATTTGATGTGGACGAGTTTGGGTTCAGATGCCAGATCAAGGCAATGAAAACATTACCCCACCTCCAACATTACTATTTTGAATCTAATCCACCATTTCTCTTGGCTTACTTATGTTTATGAAGGCACACAGCAAGATACCCTCTAGACAACAGACAATAGACATGTATCATTAATGCGTCCCGTCAATTTAGGCTCGGCTTAATTTTGGCAGCCGTCAGTCCGTTCCACCGGACGGCAGTTCTGACGTGTCCGTGACATCTCTGGCCCTGACGTGACCCTGTCGTAGATACGTGACCCTGGCGCCCCCTGCGTGACCCTGCGTGACGTCACGACTCACGGGGCAGGAGGGGGCGGGGCAGCCGGTTTCGTGACCGGACGTAGTCAGTTCCGACCACCTCCGTCTACTAACTCCACTGCCCGCTTCCTGGGGGAACATGACAGGCACATCCGTGGGTAGTTTACCACCTTCCTGGGAATGTTTTGAAACTGACGGCACGAGTGTTGCATGTCACACTTTGCCAGCTGGATCTCACACACACACCAGCAGGTCCAGCACCTGAGGATTTTCACATGCATTTATTACATTCACGGCTGGTAGCACACCCAATCCACCCACCCACCACGGCGTGTGACAACAGGTAGCCGTCTCCTCGTCCATCGTCCCGGTCGTCACATTTACCTATCCGTCTGTATCCCGCGGCTCACTGCGACGACACGCATCACGCGCTCGGCCGTGCCTCCAGGGCCGTCGGTCAGGATGAGAACGGGGATGGCCCAGTTCATGCTCGGCCACTCCCACGGCGGAGAGGCGCCGCGGCGTCCGCCACCGCTCTGCGTTCCTCCTGAGCGCGCGTCGGCCGCTCCCGGCTCGACGGCGCGTGGCGGCCGAGGGCCCGACGGCGGGTCCGACGGCCGAGGGCAGACAGTTGCCGCCCTCGACCGCCCGCCGCCGGCCGCGCCGCCCCCGCCCCCGCCCGAAATCCGACGTGTTAGTGAGACTGTGATCGGCTTGGTGTGGCCATGTGAGCGCCCTGACAACTGCTGGAGAGGCAACTCGGCCATGAGGCGCAAGGTAAACGGGACCCACGGATGGTTTGATTCAGATTGTGGGGTAGGGAGACTGAGTGGTCGACTCTGTGGTGTGACTGGTGATGACCATTAGCGCCTCTGTCGTCAAAGGTAATTTTGGATTTAAACCTCACTGACTGATTTAATGATGTCGCCCTATACTACCTTTTGTCCATGTGTTTACCGTTTACCTACTTGGTGAAGACATGCGTGCAGTTTTTTTTTTAATCCATTTCCCAATTTGAGAGTCGCCGAACACCTATAGCATGTTTGCTTGTGTTTGGCTCGGGTACAGAAGCCATGCAGTTTCATTTTCCTCATTGGCAGTTAAGTGAATTAAAAAAGTGGCCCTCCCTGGGGCCATAGTTATCAAAAAGCCGAGAATGTTTCATGCATCTAGCTGCTCATTACACGATCAAACTTAGTTGTGTAACTGTAGCCTGTAGGTAAATGACTTTCTTTAACGTATACATTAAATTTATGAACATCTACAGGGTGAGCCATAAAGATTTACCCATCGATAAATTCACTTTATTTCCAAACCGGTTGGCGTAGGTATGCCATCTTTTGCATATATGTCGCAAATTTGTCTCCAATCCTGACAGTGTAGCTCATTTTGTATATGCTCGTCCACTTTCTCTGCTACGCTCCTGAAATGCGAGGTCGTCTTAACGCACATCCGCCGCTCCTGAAATTCAGGAATCACCACTGGGTGTTGGCTGCTGAACACTCTTTGGTCTTAAGAATGCTGGGCACAATTTACCCCCGACTTCAGCCCCACGGGCTTCGCAAACTGAAATATCCTGAAAACCCGACTCTACCGAGTCCCTGAAACACCGCAAATGACATACGGCGCAGCATTGTTATAGCATGGGTGATCGAGGAAAATAAGTGAAAAGACGGTGCGGCGACCGCGTGCCATAGTGCTCTCGCGTCTCGGGCGCGTAACATAAGAAGAATGCAAGCATACAGAAAACAGACTACATTTATTAGTTAGGAGATGACGTTGTTATATGTATGTAAAAGATGACATAGCTATGTCAGCGCGCCTTGAAACAAAGTTAAATTTTCGATGGGTAAATCTTTATGGCTCACCCTGTACCTACTTCTAACGGCAATTTGCGAATTGTGCTCATGGCAAAGGGGCACATTATTCTTTGCCAAAAATAAACTCAAATAATGCAATGTTCCTTCCGTATCTCCGCCTTTAGCTGCCACGCATCATGCGGCACCGTGTCATTGTATCACTGTGTCACCGTGTCAGTGTCACTGTGTCACTGTGTCAGCGACCATCCTTCCGGAGCCGTGCGTCTCTGCGTCTCGGAAAAGTGACTGGTCAGTATCTGTGCACCGTGCGTATCATGACCGGCGCTTCCGAGCGCAATGACAGTTCAGAGCTTCCTGAGAGGTCAAGTCGACCGCCTGGTCTTATAAAACACCACCCTGAGGAACATTATATAAAATACTTCTCACAAAAGTATTTGGATCACTAAAATGCTATTTTGTTCCCAGTTCTCACACAGTTGCCCGTTTCTCACGGCACTTTCCAAGGTCCCACACGAGTCTCTCTCACGGCCTCTCACCGGGATGGTTCTCAAGTTACCTCTCTCAGATTTCCCGACGCGTGCCCCCTCTCTCCCTCGTCCCATCTCTCTCTCGGTCATTGGAGACGGGTCGAGTCCGGTGACTCCGCGTCGTCCGCCGGATATTCGCTCCGTCACCGCCGGATCAGCTCATGACCAGACGGCATTGCGTTCGGGGCACTCACGGCCAGGCGAGCACTCGGGAAGGGACACTCACGGCTTAGTCCGCACTCGAGGGAGAACCCTGGCGAGCACTCGGGAGAGGGGCTCTCAAGGCGCGGTCGGCTTTCGAAGGATAGGCACTCGATATACCGCTCGATTGGCTCTCGGGAACTGTCATTTGATTAACTCATTCGGAACACTTGCGACTTTACCAGCAACTGGTAACACTCATAGCGGCTAGCCAGCACTCGGTAGTCGGTACACTCACTCAGTATAGGCATAGGAACTCGCGGTCCGGCCCACCGCGCAGGCCAAGGGCACGTCTGATGGCCGGTTGCATATACGATGGCTCGGGGAAAAACAGCGCGTCGCCTGCCGGGTCGCCTCGGAGCGGTAAAAACGCCAGCCGGCAGGATATGTCAATGTGCTGCATGTCACGATCGCGGTATGCCTGGCTGGGTCGTAAATGGGAGCCGAGTGGCAGTGATGGCCGAGTGGTGCGGATTTCAATGGTGGACGCTGAATGGAATGCATTTTGCATAACTAAGAGAAACATTTGAAATGGATTGGGCATTTGTGCTTCTGAGCACGGAAGCACTGTCTGCAATTAAAAAGCAACCGTACTTTT